GGCATTCTGGTCGGCGGGTGTGGAGGCTAGAGGATCCAAGAAACGGAATCTAGCTGTCCCTCGCCGTCCCACTTGAGGAGCTGTGGCTAAGTGACTTGCCTGAGGCTGTGCTGTTAGTTCCAAAGGGGACACAGACTGCGGGCGCCTGACTCGGGGCCACGGGCAGGGCAGCGATTCCCACGTCTTCCGAGAGTGAATGTGCTCTCCCAGGGGACCACCTGGCGGAGCCCGAAGTGCTGCTGCCGCTTTATTTCTAGGAAATCTTGTTTTATCTTATTAACTATTGTGGACTTTGCTCTCCCGTCCATTTGGTTCAATGTGACCGTTAACATAATGGCGTCCCCTCCCCCAAATACTTTGGCATACAATGGGTGCCCCAGAAATTGGCACTGTTATCTTGTTGCTACCTGTACCCCATTTGGGGAACAAGGAATGGGTCCCACTTTCCCAACGGAAAGTTCTAAAGAGGTCCCCTTCTCGGAAACACTCGTTAGAGACTTTGTCGCCAGAGACAAATAAAACATGAGCCTAGGGATATATTTCAGAACGTAAAGAAAGGCAGGTAATAACAAATACTACCTAAAATAATGCCTATGTTGCAAACCATACACTGGTAACAATATTTAACGGAGATTAAAAAGGCTGCACATCGAGTAGCCAAAGTTTTCTCTGTAGCCCCAGCTAAGGCCCCTGGTCTGGCCCAGGTGGCAGCTGATGGCCGTCTAGGCCTCTGGTGGCCCCAGCTTAGAGGGCACTGCCGTCTCTTACCCACCTGGCTTCTCTTCTCTCCTGCTCCCTGGCATTTGAAACAAACCTGTATACATTTTTTCATTTTGAAACCTGACTTTAAAGTCTGTTAATCACCGCCCCCCCCCAAAATCGGTTAACCACGGCCCACTGATCTTACCATTCGCCCTCTTGCAACCTGCTGCCGGACGCCCCACTACCTGCACTGTCAGTACACAGAACCTCTAAGGCAGGCGTGCAGGGAAGGTGATTCTAGGGGCAGGTCTCACTCCATCACTTATTACATGTTCAATTTGGGGAAATCAGCTAAATTTACCTGCTTCTGAAAATTGGGGATAATGCCATGTGTCTTTATGAATATATTTGCGAGAATTTGAGATAGATGAAAGAGCCCAGCAATAGGAAACTACAATAAATGTCAGTTTAAAACAACAAAATTGAACTCTTGCAAAATTGGATGTTCTGGCTCATTTATTTTAAAAAATCATTTTTCCTAAAATCCTAAAATGCCTTAGTAACCTGATCGTAGCGAACATGATTCGACCTTTGATACTTGATAATCTCACACTGTCTCTGGGGGGCTAGTCTAAAAAACTGATTGTGGATTTGAACCCCCTTTGTTTTACAGATGAGGAAATCAAGGCTTGGGGAGGTTAAGAGGCTTGTCCGAGGTCACAGTTGGTAAGTGGCACAGCCTCCAAGGACCACTGTGTAGGACCCTAGCTACAGATGTTAGGATACTGGGCTGAGTGATGGATCCGCACCAGGATCCATTTTCAACTTGGAATTGATGAAAACGGCTTATTCCACACACCATCCCAGCGAAGTTAAATTACACAAACAAGTAACATAAGGGATTTCGGTTTGACATGAGAAGAGTTTCATCAGAGCCAAGTTCTTAACCAGTAAAATGGATGCGCGAGGATGTTGTGTAACTCCCTGGGTTTAGGGAAGGAGTGTCCTCTGGTACTGAGCAAACAGTGCAGGCGGGAGAGGCCGCATGAGTAAGGAGTAAGGTTTCTCTCAGAAGCATGCGTGTACGAGCATGGGTTTCTAACATTCCAGCTCATGATTACTAAACAGAGATCATGTCCAAAAAATTCAGTTGTCAGGCAATCCCACTTGGGCCTCCTCAAGTACAAGTTCAGTTTACAAAGAGGAAGCAGCTGCTCACTTAGCAACACGCAAGTTCCTACAGGAGCTGTGGCTCTGGGAGGAAAAGCTCTTGCAAGTGCGAGCATCCTGCGAATGAAAAGAATGAGCCTGTGATGAACTGTGAGGAAGCCAGAAAGCGTCTCAGGGCCAGGGCTTGAGAATGGCCTGGTACCTGTGCGGCCCCCCTCAAAAACTCAGGGCAGCCTCGTCATCCAAGATCTAGTTCTAATAGTTCTTACCAAGCTTCACACAAAAGCCACACTGACTCCTATTAGCACACTGAACAATTTGCAAATTATTTCCAAATCCTCTGGCACCTTAAACAAGTCCTTTCTTTCCCTTGAATAGAACATGGATTCACGGGCCGTAGGGGAAGGAGAGAATCCAGAAGCCTGAGACACTGCGGAGGGGAGACAGTGGCGCAGGGCAGCTGGAGAGGGCTCTGCGGTCAGCCCCCGGGTTTCACTCTGGCTTTGCCACTTACTACAACCTGGGGCAAGTTTCTGAACCTCACTGTGCCTGTTTTCCCTTCTGTAAAATGGGACTAATCAACACCGACTATCTCACAGGGCTGCTTAAACAAGATAATTGATATATGTGCAGAGCCTGGCATGCAGAAGAAACTCAGTGTTAGCATTATTACTGTTATAATTTAAGCAACAAAAACTTTTAACTACACCTTATCAAACATATTCAAGGCACCATAAAGGTCTCTTCGCTAAGCAAAGATTTAAAAACAAGTAGTTAATTACACATTTATATATAGTATCAGGACAAAGAAAGTTGCAATTTTTGACAATGGCTTGAGAAGGTAGCTTTTGAAGCCTCCTTTGACATACAAGCTATTGAAAAAACTTAGGAACAGTTGAAACTAAGCTAATAAGTTTAAATAAAGGTAGGAAATTTCTCCAACAGGAAAAAAAAGCCATTGATGTTAAGAACCGTGGAGGAAATCATAGAAGGAAAGAACATACAGCAGTAATAAAGGTGCTAGAGGTTAATCTCTTTAAAAAGGAAAATTTGGTGCCTTGAGGGATACTGCTCATGGATCTCTAACGGCTTCTAAGCCCATTTCTGTGAAGTGGTTCCTTAGCCGAGAGCTCCAACGGTTCTCTAGCTTCAGTTCTGCAGAACCGAGTGACCATCTGCTCTACCAGGAAAAGGCAAAGCAACTCTACATGCCAGGAAGTAATGTCTATCAGAGCCTCGGGGGGATTCATTTCATATGGCCTTTCTCTAATTAAGAAGAGAATTTCTCGTTTCCTGAAAGAGAAATAAAGTAATTGATGTGATTTTTTAGCTTCTAAGAACGGGAAACCTTAACTATATTCCTAAATTTTTAAAGTTTCTCATAGTTGGTTAAATGCGGCAGTTCATGAATGTCTGGCCTAACCTCTTCTGATGCATCAGGATGGCAAGAGGATCTGAGCCTAAGCAAAATCACCTCACAGGTCCTCTGAAGCAGGTATGAGACAGTGTAAGAGGCTAGCAAACCTAGACCAGGGCTGACAAAATTTTGTAAAAGAGGAATGATGAAAAAAATGTCAAAGGTATTAACGTATTACCTAACTCTTGTTTTCATGGACTCTTCCTGTTAATTATACCCAGTAGACATAATGAAAACATCCATCTGGCTTGCTTTCTACTGGACCAGGCTTCCTTTAATCAAGCCCGTGTGGATGGTGAGAACGGGTCTGTGTGGAATGCTTTTATCATAGTACTAATGAAAGGTCTCCACGTTTTTCTGCAAAGTATCTCTTCTCTCTTTTGTACTTTAAGAAGCCGACAATCCCTCCTCCAGCACTTTGAGATGCGTTTATCAAAGGTAGTTTGTAGGGGGGTTAAGAGTTTATGAAACACTGTAATTGAGTTCACTAAACCACTAAGGGAGAGTACTGAAGCCATTGATCCACGCTAGAAATTGCTTGGATTATCTCTCGGGTTTGCTGTCTTCCTTTCTATAAAAAGAAAGTAAAGAAAAAAAATTGTGTTTTGCTCCTTTAGAATGTATGGAGGAGGGAAAAACCCAAACATTTCTTTACCTCAGTGTAAGGGGCGCATTTTTTTTGAGAAAGGGAGAGGGAAAGAGAAACACCAATGATGTCATTGTCGGCTCCTGCACGCCCCTCACTGGGGATGGAGCCCGCAACCCAGGCATGTGCCCTGACCGGGAACTGAACCATGATCTCCTGGATCATAGGTTGATGCTCAACCACTGAGCCACACTGGCCTAAGGTGCACATCTCTGACAACTGGCTATTTTCACTGGAGAGTGCAATGGCCTTCTTGTCCCTTCCCTTTACATTATGCTGAAGCAAGGATGATTTTGTCCTTACCTGAACTTCGTGAAGTTAACGGAATGCCAGAGTTGGAAGGGATCTTAAATAATCCAAAGTTCTCACTCTACACTGGCGCATCTGATGAACAATGTAGTCACCAGGTAACTGTTCAGGACATCTTTTTAAAAGTAACATAAAACAGAGAAACCAACCAAAATCTTATTTTGATTCCGAAAGAGTAGAGAATTCTTGGCATAGGTACCTAACACCCATACAATTAGAATTATCACGTGCCAAACAGCATAACAGAAATTAGGATTACTTTCTAGAATTCGGTCTCAGCGTGTATTTCTTTTTTACTAGTCCAAAGACCTATCTGAACATTAAGCATGAAAAACTGGAAATCTATATTAAAAACGAGGATCTTAATAAAGGACAGTGATGTTTTAAACCTCTTATTAATGAAGTTAAATGTATCTAGAAAAATCACTTACCATCTACATAAGAATTAAAAAGCACATAAACTAGAGCTTGTATTTAAAAAGGAAATGGATGGCCCTGGCCAGTGTGGCTCAGTTGGGCGTCAACTCATGCTCCAAAAGGTTGCTGGTTCGATTCCTGGTTGGGGTGCGTACAGGAGGCAGATGATTGATGTTTTTCTCTCTCTCCCTCTCTAAAATCAATACAAAAATATTTTTAAAATATAAATAAGGAACGGGTGGCTGCTATTACAAGGAGTAGAAAAGATTCAAAGTGAGTGTAAAACTTAGCTACTTCAGAGATTATACTAGAAACTTTTAAATATAAGTTACAGTTCAGCACCTTTTAAAATTTCATGTTTATTCATATTTTTCAAAATATATGTACATAAAAAAAGGAAGATTTACAACAGGAAAGATTGCCTTACATGCAACACAAATTCCAATGAACTCATGATGGGATCACACATAATTATGAATCCAATTCAAGCCAACCTTCTCAAGTCCGTTTCCCAGCCACGCTTCAGGCTGCAGACGGGATCCCAGGAGACAATGCCAGTGGAATGGATAAAACACACACCTTTGCTTCTGGCAGCACTTAGGGGCCAGAAGACGTACACCGAAGAGTTTAAGACAATTAAAATGTCAAGTGCCACAGGGAGGGTAAATGATAACCGAAACCCATGTTTCTCAAGTAGAAAGCCAGTACTATTTAACACAACTTCACAATACTAAACAAATACAAGTAAGAGGTTACGTAGTTGGGCTTCATTTAATTTTTTTTAAAAAACCATCTCAAAACGGAAGCCACTTGCTTGATATTGAAAGTGCTGTGGAAAAAAAGGAGGGGAAAAGAACCCACAGATCAACCTGGAATCTAGTTTATTTTTGCAAATTGTTTTTTTCCACTTAACATTTCTACATTAGCAACAATGTAACTCTCCAACATTTCCTTATAAAAGAGGCAAACAAGAAGTGAGAATTCATGCTCCAAATATTAAAAAATATATTCAAACATTTGATCAAGATTTTATGTTTTGATTTTTGCTAACACAGGTGACGCCAGAAACCACAAATTTAACGTATTCTTATATTTCCCCTTCAGTCAAAAACCAAGCGGTGGAGAGAACTTGTGCTTGCTGTTAAGGGAATGCAATGCCCGGGGCCAGTGAAAGACACTTGGAAATGAATGTGAAAAGTGGCCCAAGGAGCCATGTGTCTTCAGAATCTAACGAGATCATAATGTGTTTGGCTTATTCCCAAAGCTAAGACGTCTCTGTGTTTACAGTTAGAGAGAAAGGGCTAGTGGAGTGGTTTTATAAATAAGATTAATTATTATAGCTGTAACTGGAGTCTCCAGGTAGGAGGCTTTACAGTTCAGTCAGTGCTGTTCTGCCTCGTTTTTACTTCAGCACCTGACCAGCGTTCTGTTCTTGATGCCTTCTACAAATATAAAAATCTTTGCAACTGTTTAGATAAACTGGAAGGGATAAGAAAAGCCAAGCTGACAATAAAAGAAAGAAAATACGAGGGCTGGGTGAAGGGAGAAAAAAGGACAAGTATAGATTATACAGTTTAGGAAAGTTCAGAATTACCCCCGAAATTAAAGTGACTGAGGGAAGGGACAGGCACCAAGGACAGCGCCTAAAGCTAACAAATACCCAAGCTGGTTTGTTTATAGTCCCTCCTCACAAGTTCAGAAAAAACAAATTAATTTTAATAGCATCAAAACTAAAACAAATGCACACTGACCTTAGAAAATAAGATTTTAAATTTCATCACAATACCCTTTTTTCCTATAAAATTTACTTTTTTGCTTTGAAAGATTTCTTCATGGTGGATTTGCCCTTGCCAGGCAATTTCACTTCCTTTCTCACACTGGCCGCAGGCTTCTTTGAAGAGCCACCACTGGGTTTCTTGATGACTGAGGGTGAGGGTCTGGCTTTCTTGGCAGGAGTTTTGGCCTTGGGAGCAGCTTTCTTGGGCAGGGGCCTTGCTTTCCCTCGCTGAGCAGCTGGGACTTTAGGCACAGGCTTGGATCCTCTCTGCTTCATGGGTGCAGCCTTTCCTGATGACTTGGCTGGGGTTTTCTTCTGCAACCTGCAAACCAAAGAGCAAAGGCAGTCACTTACCAGCTGAGAGATTCACTTTGCCAGGATGATCAGATACTTTACCAAAAAAGAAGAGAGATTATGTAGAAGTCGCCTATGTTACGAATAGAAATGTAGCCCTGGCTGGGTGGCTCCACTGGTTGGAGCATCCTCCCATACACTAAAAGGTTGCAGGTTCAATCCCATCAGGGCATGTACAGGAGGCAACCAATTGATGTTTCTGTCTCACATTGGTGTTTCTCTCCCCTACCCCCAAATCAATAAACATATCCTTTGGTGAGGATTAAAAAAAAAGAATAGAAATGTAATTTATTACTTTTTTTAACTAAAGGCTTTTACTAAAATTGTATAAAATTCAATTCATGGAAATCTACACAAAATTTTATAATGTTTTTCCTAAGAAAATAAATTATTTTTCTTTGAATAACCAAACTATGGATGTATTTAAGGCTTGATCAAAAAGTAAATGACGTATTCATGTTTCATTTCTTAAGCTTGGAGTCTCTGAATTTTCAAGAAAACAAGTTCAGTGTTACACAGAGAACGTCAAGGCTCCTGAGTTGGAGGCTTTGCACACATCCACACCTCTTAGGTGGAGGCTCTTCATCCTCAGAGTCTTCTTCTGATGAGTCATCTTCATCTTCATCTTCATCTTCATCTTCATCTTGAGAATCATCTGGCTCTTTCTTTGGAAATAGAACTCCCGGGCTATGGAAAAAAGAAAAAGATTAAGTGAAAGAGGAGTCCTACAGAGGGCAAGGAAAATGATGTGAACCTAGATGTATATTCCCAGAATATTCCCCATTTCCTCCAAGCTTCCCCAACGATGTCAAGTCAGGTTACAAATATCAAGTTACAACTGAACCTATTTTGAACATACACACAAAGTCATGACAAATCTATAAAGTCCCAGCCGTGCCTCATTCCCTTCCTCCTTCTATTTAATAAAGTTGATTCTTAACCATTTATTTATAACATTTAATGTGTATGTCTTTAAGAATTAAAGTTAAATAGTCAAAAATTTCAAATAACATGTATTCAACCTGGAACACTTATGCCTGCACACAAAGAACAAGAAAGCTACACTTACTCCTGCTAAATAGGGCTTTAGCGGCACACCTCATGACACCATACTAGAAATGGAAGTATGAGGCTATATAGCACGGGTGCATAGAACAATGCTTGCCCATAGGAGATGCTCAATGAATAAACAAGGTACTTGTGTAAGACAGGTTTTCAAGTAAATGTCCCTGTCTCTACAGTATGAAGAAGGCAGATTAGGATTCTTGGAAGCAGCCAATGCTCTCCCTAATTGGTGTGGTACAATTAAAACATATACATAACCCTCTAATAATCTTCCTGTTGTTATCGATTATTCAAGAAGCAATAAACATCAAAATGACTGGCCAAGGATCTCAAAGAATTCAATACTTGATTTCAGGAACATCTGGCTAACAATAAATTCTAGCAGGATAGCCAAAATTCCTGTTCTTACGTGAAAAACTTTTGCTCTAAAACAATACTACCTTAAGTAGTCTTTATTTTCAAGTATATCCAGTTCAGTGTAATAGTGGTCAAATAAATTAAGCCATGTCTGTAACCTAGAATAGATTTTAAGTTTACAATGACCAATACTTCATATTATGGGCTGTTTGTTTACCTGGGATAATAGGGAAAACAGAGCTGGAAGGTGCCACTGAATCCTTTACCAGAGATCTGTTCCATCCACCCGTTCTTTTCGCATTTCTGCAGGGTTTTCTTCAGCAAATGCACTGAAAAAAAAAAAATTAAAAATGGAGAAAGTTATTTAGTTATTCAAATTTGGTAATTCTCTCAACCACAATCATTTATACATCAACTTAATGTCCCATCATATACAGTAACTGACAAGTTCTAAGTGAATCCGTTACAGTCAAAGGGATTAACTAATTCACTAAATAATTATTAAGGCCCATACATTTGGCAAGAGTAAAATTTTAACGGCAAAAGATTTGAGAGACCACTGAGTCAAATTCCTCATTTCAGAAAAAGGTAGAGAAGCCTAGAGTGGTTAGTGACTTGCCCATAGTTGCACATACAGGGGTGTGCAAAGGTAGGTTTACAGTTGTTCGTATGGAAAATAATGCAATAATTAATAAATAATAACACAAAATCTGTTTTGTATACTCACAACTGTAAACTTTTTGTTTACAACCCTTTTGCCCACCCCATGTATATGGTTAATAGCTGAATGAAGACTAAATTTCTCACTATTTCCATTTGTTGAAACATCTATTGAGTACCTGTAAGAACAGATAATCATCTAGGACACTATCCATAAAGAAAAACAGAACCAATTTCTCACAAATCAGCAAAGAGTACCAGCACAACACCAAGGCTCCAAAAGGCCTCACTAATTCTCACCTTTCATACAAAAACACATAAAAAATATACTTTATAGTGATTCAGTGTCTAAAAAATAGCAATATAAATGAAACTGAAAAGGTTAATAACCAATTTTACCTTCTACCACGGCCAAAAGAGAAAATCGTGAAATAGTCTTTAAGGGACAACTGCACAATTAAACACATTATGTATCTTAAGGAAGGAAAGTTTATTAAAAAAACACCAGTTTTCAGAGTACACAACAATCAGAAAGCATTTCTTCATAATGTTAAAATATACATATTGCATATATGTTAAAAGTCAGTATTGACTTCGAAATTACCTTTTTATTTAAAACAATATATCCTAACTTGCATTTTCTGTTACTTAACTTCCGTATCCTTTACCCTATACCGGTGGGCCCATTCTAGTAGTTCACCAAGAAAATGCACAGTCTCACTAATCTGTCCATGGTAACGCTGCTAAGAGAAGGGTTCTCATCTCAAATCACCACCTGATAGGTAAATATACATTACCAAAAAAGTACTTTCTGTTACAGGGCTTACGTCAATGTGAAATAACCCAAGGAGCCCTGGCGGGGTTGGAGCATTGTCCATACACCAAAAGGCTATCATTTCGATTCTCAGTCAGGGCACATACCTAGACTGTGGGTTCAATGCCCGGTCGGGGTGCATGTGGGAGGCAACGGATCAATGTTTCTTTCTTATATCGATGTTTCACTCTCTCTCTTCTTCCTCTCTCTCTAAAATTAATAAACATATCCTCGGGTGAGGATTAAAAGAAAAAAAAAGAAAGAAACTAAGTAGCAAGTATTTTAAAATACTGGTTTGGTATCAAGGTGAAATTAGATGTTCTGGTAAACATTCACAAATAAGCAAGAAGACAGTAAACTTGAGAGGTGTTCTGAACCTAGAGATGTACCTAAATTACAATAAAAATATCAGAAAAATCTACACAGCAAAGTACAATCAAATTCTGATCTTTAGTAGACATTGTAAATTAAGGATAAGCCTTGATTATGTCTGTTTTTCTTTTTAGAAATAAATCAGATTTGTAAAGTTGTTGTTCCCTCTTGGTTTTCAGTCAGTAGTTAAATGCTTTGTCATTAGTAGCATGATCTCTAGGGATTTTTCACAACAGCCCTAATCCGGGTAAAATGTATACAACTGCGTGCCTTACTTTGATAGTTAGAATTGGTCCCTGGGTGGTTCTCCAGGACATACTTCTTCAGAGCAGTGGTGGAGCAGGTCTTCGGCTCATTCATGGCAGCAATGGCAGACAAGATTGCATATTCCATCAGGCTTCCACCAAGCAGGGGCTTCTCCCCTGATTTCTTCAGCTGTTTTCCAAGGAGGAAGAGAAAAGCATCAAGACAACACTCTCCCAAAGCAGGTCAAGACAAGACTCCTCTGCACCAGGTGGGTCGGAGTTCCTGCATTAGCACAGATATGTTTTACAATAAATTGTCAGGTTAGGGACTTTCTCTTCCCATTTATCAGGTATGCAATCTAACTGAGGAGTCCCAACCCTCCTATGAAGATTTTCTCCTTCCATCCAACCTAAAATAGCAATGGCTAACCTAACCCAAAGAGAGGGACAGCTCTACCCCAATAAGTAGGTAACTTGTTAGCCCCTCCCCAAATTAGGATGCTTTTATTTGAAAATACTTCCTTTTTCTGAATCTGAAAATTGTAGTAGTTGTAAAAATAACAAATAGCCTTTTTTAATCCTATATGAAAATAACAAAAGAAAAGTACGATCACGCAATAGGAAATTACATAGGATAGTTCAAGGACAAAAGGCTGGGGAACAAAGGTGAGTACCAATAAGCAAAAATTTGGGGTAAAAGGACAAACTCTAGTATGGTTCACAATAGTGATTCTCAAGGAGTGGTACATATACCCCATGGGGTTCCTGAGATCCTTTCAAAGGATACACAAAGTCAAAACTATTTCATAATAATACTAAGATGTGATTTGCCTTTTTCACTGTGGTGACATTTGCAGACAGTGGAAAAGCTGCTAGGTAAAACTGCTGCAACCTTACCACAAATCAAGGCAGAGGCACAAAAACTACATAGTAGTTATTTTATTCTTTATGGCTACATACTTGTGGTTAAAAAAAAATAGCCAGTTTCACTTAAGAATGCCCTTGAAGAAGTAGTACAAATTACTTTATTAAATCTAAACCCCAATGCATGTCTTTCTGGTATTTTATGGGATGAAATGAGGAAGAACACATAAAGCATGTCAGCTGTCTATATATGATAGCTGTCTCAAGGAAAAACACCTGTGATTATCTGAGTTGTGAGCTGAACTAGCTGTATTTTTCATGGAATACTCTTTTTACTTGAAGGAACAACAAACAGACAAACTATGGATTTCTAGACTTAGGTATCCGGTAGACATTTTCTTGAAAACAAAAAAGTAAGCCTGGCTGGCAAGGCTCAGTGGTTGAGCATCGACCTATGAACCAGGAGGTCACAGTTCAATTCCTGGTCAGGGCACATGCCCAGGTTGCAGGCAGATGCCCAGTTGGGAACATGTAGAAGGCAGCCAATTGGGAAAACTTGTATCTACCACCGTGAGCTTGATTAACTTCCTAGTACTTAATGCTGTTCTGGTGAGATCAGTGGGTAATATTAATGAACATGATTTTTGTTATTGATGAAATGTGTCAACATTTAAAAAATCTGCATAATTCAGTGCATAGTTCACTATTTTCCAAATGACTGTGTTACAAAATTATGCGTGGTTAAAAGATCCATTTAAAGTTCAAGGCAGACCAAAGGATTTTAAGATAACAGAGCACAAGAAGTTCACTAATATGGTTTCAGATTCCACATGACAACCTTTAAGGAATTGCCACAAAATCAATTAATGTAATACACCATATTAACAGAATAGGGAACAAACCACACGACCATCTCAAGAAACATAGAAAAAGTATTTGACAAATACAACAGCTATTCATAATAAAAACTCCAACAAACTAGTAATAGAAGGGAACTTTCTCAACCTGATAATAGGCATATATGAAAACCCTACAGCTAACTTAATAGTGAAAGACTGAATAGACAAGAATGTCTGCTCTCATCACTGTGCTGGGGTTTCTATCTAGCACAATCAGGAAAGAAAAAAACAAACAAAAAATCCAGATTGAAAAGGAGGTAGTAAAATGGTCTTTATTTGCAGATGACATAATCCTTTATATGCAGGAAAATCCTAGGAATCCAGAGTCCTAAAGAACCCACAAAAAAACTACCTCAACTAGTAAATGAGTTCAGCAAGGTTGCAAGTCACAAGATCAATTGATAAATGAACTGTATTTCTATAGGCTACCAATAAACAATTTGAAAAAGAACTGGAAGAAAATTTCACTCACAATAGCACGGAAATATTTAGGAAAAAATTTAACAGAAGAAATATAAAACCTGTACACTGAAAACTATAAAGTCAGTTAAAAATATATGTATTAAAAAAAATTCAATACTTTTGCACTTTAAGTGAAAAAGTACAGGCCACAGACTAGGAGAAAATATTTTGCAAATCATATATCTGATGAGGAAGTTGTATCTAGTTATATAACTTCTAATTCAATAAGACGAATAACCCAATTTTAAAAATAGGCAAAGGACCTGAATAGACATTTTACCAAAGATAAACAAACGCACATTAAGCACACGGAAAGATGGTCAACATCAGTACCCATCAGGAAAATGCCAACCAAAACCACAACGAGGTGACATGATGTAACCACTAGTATGGCTATAACGAATGAAACAGTAACTATTGTTTGCAAAGATATGGAGAAACTGGAACCCTTATACATTGCTGGTGAGACGGTAAAATGATGCAGCCACTTTAGCAGTTTCTTAAAACATAAATTTACTATATAGTCCACCAAGTCCACACTCCTAGTTATATACCCAAGTGAAATAAAAACATATATCAAAACATAAAGACTTGAACGTAAATTAATGTAAACAGTTAACATTAATCATAACAACTAAAAAGTAGAAGTAACCCAAACGTCCATCAACTCATGAATGGATAAACAAAATGCGTTAGATCCATATATGGGAATACTATTTGGCAATAAAAAGGAATAAAAGTACTGCTTCATGTTGCAACATGAATGTAACTAAAAAACTGTATGCTAAGTAAAAGAAGCCAGTCACAAAAGACCACACATTGTATAATTCTATCTATATGAAATGTGTAAAAAGGAAAACCTGTAACAAGAGAAAGTAGATTAGTAGGTTGGCTGAGGTGGGAATGGGGAGTGACTGCAAATGGGCACAAGGATCTTTTTTGAGTGATGCAATTGTTCTAAAATTGGACTGATGGCTGTAAACTCTATAAAGTTACTAAAAATGACTGTATTATAAATTTTAAGTTAAAATGAGTTTATCTTATGGTATATACAGAATAACTCAATAAAGCTATTAAAAATTTGTTGAGTTTGGGTATAGTATCAAAGAACAATATCCATAACTATTTGAAAATTATCTTAAAATACTTCCTCCTTTAAAAACTATTTCTGTGAGTTGGATTTTCTTCATAGATATAACTCAAAATATCAAAATATACTGAAAACAAGTATCAGCTATCTTCTATTAAGTTAGACATTAAAGACGTTTGCAAAAATATAGTAGTGCCCCTCTTTTCATTTTATTAAAAAAAAGTGATTTTTCATAAAAATGTTATGCTAAAGTGCAATGGGTTTATTTTTAAAAAAATGAATTAAATGTTTAACATTTTATTTTCCTTTTTTTAAAAAAAGATAGTCATTTTTAGAAAGAGGGGGGTGGGTGGGGGAGAGAAACATCAATAGGCTGCCCCCTGCACGCCCCCAACGAAGGATGGAGCCTGCAACCCAGGTTATGTGCCCTGACCAGGAATCGAACCAGCAACCTTTTGGTGCACGGGACAATGCCTAACCAACTGAGCCACATCAGCCAGAACTAAAATTTTCTTCAGTTCAAACTTTCAATACAAATATTGATAGGTATAACCCACATAAACAAAAGCTCTTGGGGTCCTCAATAAATTTAGAGAATAAGAAGGCCCTAAAACCAAAACTTTTGAGAACCATTTTGCTACAAGCAAGCCTTTTTGGACTCTAACCTGGAATGTTCCAGAAGCACCTTTACCAGTTATTTGTTCTAACTGGCCTCTCTCTACTGCTCTTTGCAGAGCATTCTTCAACAGCTGTGGCCTGCAGAGAGAAAAGAAAAAAAAAGTGATAAATATATCGATGAAGGAAAGATTTGAAGAAATAGATCCAGGACTTATTCCTTGAACTATGTAGTGCCTTGTTAAAATGGACAATAATAAATGACTAGCACCCTTAATAAGTAGCATTTTTTTTTTTCAAGCAAGGACACTAAGTCATTCCCTACACATACAGACCACTTTCCAAAATGTCAAGGCACTCTAACAACCTTTTTAAAAAATATGTCTTTACTGACTTTGGAGACAGGAAGGGAGTGGGAGATAGAAACATCAATGATGAGAGAGCCATTGATCAGATGGCTCCTGAACGCCCCCACTGGGCATCGAGTCTCCGCAACCCAGGCATGTGCCCTGACTGGGAACTGAACTGCCATCTCTTGGATCATAGGTCAATGTTCAACTGCTGAGCCACACCAGCAGGCTCCTAGATGGTTTTAAGAAAGTATATATACGCATTAACAAAAACAACTGAGTCACTTTCTACAAACCAGTATCTAAAAGCCTAATAAAATACAACTTCCTGAGAAAGAAAATAGGTTGTTTTTAACATAGTATCTCTGTCTTAAGAAGCTTGTCATTAAAAAACAAACGAACAAACTAGGTTATCAAAACCAAATGGCAGGCAAGAAGAAACTGAGTAAAATTAGAAACATAAGAATAAAAATAATAAAAATAACAGAAGACCAAAGCGTTGAAGCAGGCCTGTGGTGATAAGGACTGAGCAAAGTGGATTACAGGGGAAAGCCATCCAGGCAAAGGGAACAGGAACAGCAAGACTCTGAGGCCAGCTAGGGAGGGAAGAGTAGTAGTAGGAGATTCGGTCAGAGAGTCAATGGAATTGTAGTGCCTTGTAGGCTATTCTAAAGACTCTGGCTTTTCCCTCTGTGAGGGAAAGCCACTGGAAGGTTTGAGCAGCAAGATTATATGATCTAACTTAAAAATTTTTTTTTTTAAAGTATATCTTTATTGACTTCAGAGAGAGGAAGGGAGAGGAAGAGGGAGAGAGAGAGATAGAAACATCAATGATGAGTCATTGATCGGCTGCCTCCTGCACCT